TTTATGTATGTACGTATATACCCATATGTATATGTGTGTGTACACACATCATATATATTTTTATATTTATATGAATATATACATATATATTATGTATGTGTGTATATATATATATATATATATATGTATGTATGTATGTACAAATATATAGACATGTACACACACATACATATACATGCATATACATGTATATTTAATAATAATAAATTAAATAAATAATTTATTTAAATATTTTTAATTAATAAAAAATCAAACTTAAAACCAAACCGAACCGAACCGAACTGAACCAAAATTTTAAGTTTGGTTTGGTTTGGTTTATAATTAAATGAGTTTGGTTTAGTTTTAAAAATATTAAAACCAAAAAACTAAAAAACTAAACCAAAATTATGGTTTGCACACCCTTAATAGTAAGGTTGGGTCCTACTATTGTCAATAGTAGTTAGTTTGGGTTGTTGTTTGATGAGTGAAGGTTAAACAGTTGTTTTGTACAAAGATGTTATTTTGGATAAGAGGAGTTATGTAAGATAATTATATTTTCAGTTATAATAATAACTTAATTTTCCTGTTTTGCTATGTCGAATTTTTGTACCATTATTTAGTTTTTATGTGAGTTGTATGTTTGACTCAGCAGGTACGATAGTCAAATAAGATTTAGTTTTCTCCGGTTAATTCTGAGTATTAGAGGTTGCTAAACTATATTCCACTGTCACACCTCACTCGAGTTACAGAGTGGGGTGTGACACTTCTCTTTCCCTAATTAATTCTCTCTCTCTCTCTCTTCCCCAAATTAACTTCCCCCCCCCCACCCAATTTAATTAGTAAAAAAAAATCAAATCCTCCCACCTAGGGGCGTTCACGGTTCGGTTTTTTACAGTTTTTTGACAAAATTTATAACATACCATTTATTCAGTTTTTTGAAGTTAAAATCAAAACCATACTTTTTGATACCAGTACCAATCCATTCGGTTTCATTGGTTTCGGTTCAGTTTTTAAAATTTTGTTGTTTTTAAATTTAACCACTCAAATAAAATAATATGAAATAATGAGTTTAAACACTTCCCAACAAATAAGTAAACAAATTTAAGGAAATGACTTATAGTTTGTAAATAAATAGATGAACAAAGATAGAGAGACTTATAAAATAAATAAGAAGAAATATAATATAAATCAACAAAATACAATAACATCCTGTCTATTATTTTAAAATTAATAGAAACTTAAAAGCAATAAAAAAAAAGAGATTAAGCCATCCTTTCACTTTATGTTGTTACCTTTTGACCTGTATTGACCATGAATCATAACTACGATTAATAAAATTAAGACAAGACAGTGAAGGAAAGAGGCGAGGTAAGACAAGTGAGACGAGGTAACTGCAAGAAGAGAAAAGAAGATTGTGAGAGTTGTGCATGAGAGAGGAGATGGTTAGTATTCCAAACAAAATTTTGTATATATATTTTCTCTTTTTACACTATAACCCCTTATATTTACACTTCCTCTTCATATAAGCCTCAATCTTTTTAATTTTTTCAATTTACTATTAAATTATTCTTAATCTCTAGAAATTTGAATATTTTATATATAATATAAATAATTTAATAAATTATTATATATAATATTCGGTTTGGTACAATTTTTTTTCAATTTTTATTTATAAAATCTAAATCATACCAAAATATTCGTTACGATATTACCTAATACCAAAATCTATAATATTTTTTTCAAAAAAACTTAACTTTCGGTACGGTACGATTCAGTTCAATTTTTTAAACCATGAACACCCCTCTCCCACCTCTCTCTCTCTCTCTCTCTCTCTCTCTCTCAAAAATAATACCCCCTCTCCCCCCCTCCCTTTAAATTTTCCAGACCCCACCCCCATCTCCTCTCTCTGTTCCTCCTCCTCCCTTCCCCCTACCAAAAAAATAAAATTATATACATTTTTAAAAAATATTTTGATTATTTTTTACATATATATTTTATTTAATCAAGATATTAGAAAAAAAAAATACAAAAAATATAAAAATAGTAAAAATTAGCTTTAAAAAATAATTTCTTAAAATTTTAATTAAAATTATATTTTTTTTTAATTTTAAAATGAACAGATAATAATAAAAAATATGTTAATTTTATTATACTATCTATAACTTTGAATATTGTATAAAATTTAAATAAAAATATATTATTTAACTATACTAAATTTATTAAATTATTTATTAATTTTTTTATTAACCAGTTCGATCGGTAGTTAAACCAGTTAAACTATAACCTAATAACTTTGCTAATTTAATCACTGGTCCGATTTTTAAAACATTACAGAAAACCTTGCATGAATGTAAAAGCCGTTGATCGGGAAATGCACATTGATCCTACTGGCGAAATCTTTGCCAGTCGTCCTGGAACTTCAAGTTCCATGTCTCGTCTTCCACCTTCAAAATATTTTGTCCTGCGGCCTGTGCTATTTGCCATGATTTTCCAATCATTAGAACTAGAGACTAGAGTTCAATCTGTTAAGTGCAAACGAACAGGCTAGAGATGAGCAATATTCTGCGATCGGTAGAAAAGACTTGGATATTTGTCTACCTCTCCATTAGTCTGAAGGAACTGTACCATTAACTCGCTCCCGAGACATTCATCGATTACGTCCCACTGTTAGCTCTTCTCACCAACTCAAGTGAAAAGCAGTCTCAATTGCTCTCACATAGAAGCACAAAAGCTACTCCCACATGAGAAGCATTAGACACTACTGCTTTAGACGTGCCTCAGGAAATCACCAGAATGCACGTGCTCCAAGTCCATGGTTTTCCAAATGGCGTATTGGTACAGCCACCAGAAAAAGCTTAACGGATTTCTTTTAACCATAAAGACAAAAATGTGAAACCCGCAAAATAATAAATTCAGCGGGCTTAACTTGTGTTTACGAGTAAGAAAATTCTTTGAACAAATGACTGATGTTCAAGGCAGCATTAGCAGCATATTTGTTCTACACAACCAACATAGAGTAAATCTACGCACCCCTAACAATAATCTAAACAACAAAGGTCATCTCAAGTAATAAGACCCGACAATCTCTTGTTCCCAACTGAACAATTTCCCGGCACTTTATTGAATAGAAACGGAGAAATTAAAGAACCCAGAAGTAACTAATGCTGCGGCAGCCAAATAATCCATTCCATGACCACACATATCTGATTGGAAATGGAAGAAGATACCAAGGCTATGGATTTGTAATTCCCGGAAAGCTAAGGAAACACCTGTGACTTTACTGGATCAGAAAAGGCAGTTTGATGACCAAAAGCAGACCAACTAATGCCAGCTAAGAAGTCCAGTATCAAAAATGATAACAAAACATTTGGAAACCATCTTTTTTTTTCTTTTTCTTTTTTGTCTTGCAAAAGATAAAATTCAGCTATGAGACATGGGCTCCAAATAGTGATAGCTCCAATGAAAGATGAAAGGATGAAAAAGGAGTTTTGAGTTGAACAAGTGGTCCGCTTGCTTCACAGACACAAAAATGGAAATGCTCTCATCACATAATGGTATCCTTCCTTGGATCTCACACCCAAGGCCTTAATTTAGCTGTAACATGTTCTATCATCTAATGAACATATCAGCAATGCAGAATATATATCAATAGCCCAGCTTCGTCCTTGGGTTAGAATGACCATTAATTTTACCTTCTCAACCATCAATGCCTGAAATTTCAGGAAATCTTAGTTTCCTAGTCAAGCTTTTCATCCAAAGGCCTAGAGACCCAGTTTGCCCTCCAAATGATTGAGGATGACAAAAGGCGTTCCACTTTCCACCCTGATGACTGCAGCTGCAGGATGATCAGACAAGAAGGTCTTTAAGATACAAGGATATAATGTACATCTTACTGTGGAAAGATGATACATGCGAACACTGTTTATTAGTGTATTTTTTTCCCTATTTTTTGTCCAGTTGCAAATCAAGAGTTTGAAGCTTGAACACTAACTCCATAATGTTTTAACAATATCCCTCCAGTCACAGATCCTAAGTTTTTTTTATATTTTTATGTATAGATCATACCTTGTATATGATATGAAACAATCAACAAAGGCAGCAACATGTAGAACTGACTTGGAAAACATACCATTTCGTATGTCACTTATGCAGTATTTCATATAGATTTCTTTTTAATTCATAAACTAACACATTCCATCGATCTCTTTTCCCCTCTCTCCTAATGAATACCAAAATCATTTATTTCTTTCCTTAACCATGTTTCCAAAAGTTGCTTCTTTTCTTGCGAATGGTTAATTTTTAGAAAATATAAACTAATGTTATCAACATTCAGTTTGAAATCCCTTTTTCTCTATGAACTTTTGACATATTCTCATTTTATTAAGGTAATTCCATCAATAACTTCTCTTTGGTCTTTCTTCATTAACTCCATCTAAACCATCGCTCATCCTATCAGTCATCTCTATGCATTTGCTAATTTTCCTTATAACTCTGCCAAAAATCAAACTTTTTTACATTAGCAATTGAAACTTCTAATCTAAATGGGTCACTTGCTAACTTATTTTCCCATTAATATAACTAAGACCAAACAACCATTATATTTCAATGATGTCATTATCTCTCAACTCTCTCCATTTCACCAGTTTTTCAATTGTCTTTTCATTTTCTTTTTTCATTTTAAGACAATACATGCCCTAAAATTTTGGGTCATCCGCAAATAGACCTATTACTTTGCATCTTTTTGTATATAAATCCTTTAAATTTCTGAAATTTTGCAATAGATTCCTCTACCAAATTGTCAAACCAATTAAATGAGATTCTTCTCTCAACCCACAACACAAGGTATTCCCTCAACCATCATGACAGCTTCATCCTCTGAAGCCATTGTGGCAGTCCACAACTCCTCAGCCCATGCAAGTCCAAATCTGCAACAATCAAACCATTGCAGATCCACCATTCATAGCTCCCCTCCCTCACTATCATAGGCCACATGAACCCGGCCCCCCACCTCCCCCAAATCATCAGCCACCACCTTCCTGTAGCTTCCCAAGCTGCTTTCCATCATTGCAGCATGTTATCTCCCAACCACCCTCTTGGTGGAACAAGGTTTTCCACTAAATAGAATTAAAGAATTCAGATCAAATTCGTTTCCACATTTGACTTAAGTAGTACAATAATTGTATAAACAATATAATATCTAAATTGTTATTTACCTAAGCTTAAAAACTGAGTTTTGATGCATTGAAATTGGTCCATATAATTTTTAGAGTGATAGTTCAGTTTTATTATGTACTGCATGCATAAAAATTATTCAAATCAATGATTAGCAAGAGCTGTAACCAATCCAAAGCATTTGAAATTAGACAGTAAACTGGGAGGCAATACCTTCAGAACAAAATTTTCATAGTGTTTATCCATCCATGAAAAGCTCTCTATATCTGCAGATGTGTCCTTATCAACAAGATTTACCATGACAAGAGCATGCACAAATGCCTGCAAGATATCAGTGCCTGTGGAATCCTTATGCATAACGATATTGACGATTCCTTTTTGCTCAAGCAGCAAGTACTTTGCTAGAAAGAACAAAAATCAAAGTAAGGCTCTAAGTTTCGGCTGGTTCATGAATAGGAAGCAAAAAAGTAAATCCCTCACCTTTCAGATATTGAGATCCAGCACACTGCAAGAAGCTATGCCTGTATGACAAAATAAATTGATCATGCACATATCCATGTATAAGTAGTGCGATGTATGTATATGCCAATAGAAAATTGGCACAATAATTCAAGGCAGCCAGTTCAGTAGCATTTAGTACCATAAATTTATCAACTTAGCTATGGGCTCAAGGTTAATGTGTGGAAGATGTTTTGTTATATCATGAAACAGTTATCCACGAGCTTATGGGCAATTCCCAACAACTTTAAAAATAAGAGGTATATAGTAATAGTCCTAGAAGATCTGGCCTTAAGCTGGTCCAAACAACTCGCATATTGAAAAATGCCTAAGGTTGATGTCAACAATAATTAAGAATGAGTTGCAGAACTCACATTTCATGGTGGTTAAGTGAGGAAACTCTCACACCTATGCGTACCCGTGTATGCAAAAAGTTGGTAGCCTTTGAGCTCCATGAAGTGATCCACAATGGCAAGACATGCTCCATGCCAGAGACCTGCTTGGGAGAGAGAACTGCCAGCCAAGCCATACAGATCGTTTCAGAATTATCTATGTTAGACACCAAACACACACATACATGCATACCATACCCAGCACTTAACAATGATGTTACACAAATCTAAAATATAGGTTAATGTATATGCAAGTTATGTTCTGTAAATCTATCATATCTTCATGCAATTTGGTAATTTTTTTTTTTAAAATGGAGGTATTTATTCCGGAATCATCATAAATCATGCATATGCACCATTGTAATCAAGATGATTCATTACATATAAGTAAAATTGAATTCGATATTGCACAAAAGTCAACAGGTAATTCAGCTTTATTAACCTATATGTGGATAAAACTTGATGTTTTTGCACCCATGTTGTATCCACAATGTGTTTGTTCCCAGAACAGTGCTTCAACAAGCTTCATTGGACATTTCGGTGGGTGAGAAAATAAAAATAAAGCAAAAGAGGAAAAACAGAAAACAGTTACAATGCCACACCTTGGCCGGTCTTCATAAAATGCTGCAGGAGTATTGAGCTTCTTTCACAGTTCAATGTAGTTAAAGAAAGACACCGAACAGCATTGTAATTTGCTGCAAATAGTTAAAAAGGCTAAGGTTAATTAAGAAGCAGGTAAGGCTTGTTTTATAGAACCTCAAATTGCTCACTCTTGAGTGTCACCAAAACTCCCAAGAATGATCATCACTTGGCTTTCCTTTCATGAGCATTGTTCATGTACAGAATCTTAAATATGAAACTAACCATACATATGGAATATAGTCAGAGACAAAAAAGAAAGCCATATGGCTATGGGGTGTCCCATGGTGAAGCGCGCAAGAAGCATTCCCAAAGCCATTCCAATCATAGTTGCAAGTGTCTCTTGGCTTCCTTCCTAATAGCACAAGGGAATAAGATCACAATCAACTTGCCTATATTCGGACTATGTTTGCATGGAGGTAATGGAAATCAATGAATGGGAACAATCAACTAAATTCAGTAAGTTTTAAAGTTGTTTAAAATCTGGTTTATCAAGAATACACAAGAAAAGCACTTTGAATTGTTGATTAATCCCAAGACTAAGTTTAGTAGATTTTACTTGAATATTCAAATTCTTTCATTCCCATTGACTTCAACAAAACATGGTAAATAGTATAAAGTTATAGAGTACAGTTTCCCACCAGTTTTATCAAGTTTCATATTTCCTTTGGTACCTTGGCCGATATATCTGCTGCATTATCCTGAAGAGCAAAATGTTGTGTCAAAGCAGCCCTAGTCGCCCCACTGGCCACACCAGCTGAAAGGTAGCACAAAGTAAAGAGGTAATGAAAAATGAGAATCAACAAAGTGGTGCCTGATAAATAAATAAAAAATAGAGATGGGATTCTAACACATGCAGACAGGACCCATTATCCCAACCTGAGCAGGTAGATATTCCATGACACTACCAAGAAACTATTTGCTTTCGATCTTATTGAAGCTATCTTTACTTTCTTCTGCATTTCTTTTTATTTGGATTGTGTTTACGTTTAATTTCATGTCCATTGAATCCAAAATTTGCATTACAATTGGATATTGATTTCAACATGTTTGGTCAAATATGCCTATAGTGTTTTATGAATTGATATCAGATAATAATCATATAGGGTTTGAATATGAAAATGAAAAGAGGTGAGCCTTTGATCAACAATAAGGTCACTTCTTTATGACTGGAAGGTCACAATCTCTCTGCAATGCGAAGGTAAGGCTGCTTACATTGACTTGACAACCCTCTCCTTACCCTCGCAAATCAGGCAACCTTGTGGCCTGGGAACCCTTCTTCTTAAGATGGAAACAAAATATAAAAAAAAAAACCTGGGATCCCTGATCCACATGTTCCCAGAGATCCCTGTCTCTAGGGAAAGTCTCACCTCATTTTCCCCTCTCTTCCCTAAAAATAAATGAACAAATAAATAAAATTGTCATCCTTGATAGAAAATGAGTGTGGGTATGGAGATCAGCAATGTCTGATTTAGAGCATGATCTTTAGTAATAAAGGGTGCCAACATTTTGAAATGGCATGATTGCTTAAAATGATAGATATCTATGACATCAACTTCAAATACGTACATGAATATCATATAGTAAAACCATTGCTTAACCGAAATAACCTAATCTAAAAGGGTGCAATAATCTTGCTATGCCTGCTGTATGTATCAATATTGGATGTGTTGAGGGAATCATGATCACCATGAAACATATGGCCAATGTATAATAGCATAATTTAGTACACACACTCAGACAGCATCAACAACATTCAGTTATCGGCTTCAGCTCATCACTAGAGGATTTTCCAGTTGCAAAACTGTTGGTTGAAAAACTTACTGAACGATCTTGACAAGCTTCCCAAGCAGACTACAAATACAAATGCAGAAGGAAACAAAGGAGAAACAAGGTCCATCAACATTCCTGCAGCAAACAAACTATACTTTTCATCTATTATCTCACAGCATGTAAAATAAGAAGTATAACTCCTAATGCATGTAGAACAAGAAGTATAACCACACCTAGCAAGCTCTATAGCAACTAAATCAAGATGGGAAAAAATTCCAGCAAGAAGAATGTTTCAATAAATAGTTGATCGATAGCTCACTCATATATATCTTCAAACTTCAACAATTACAAGAAATATAAATCACAATTCAACCTCTTGTAAATAATGAGCCCTTATCTAGAAATTATGAGCTGTAATATTCCAACGGGAATACAAACTGTAAAATATCCACGGAACATAGAAAGCTGGAATACAACTACAATTTTCAAATCGAAAACCAAAATTCGCTTTTTTCTGTTTCCTACTCTGTATTTGGTTTGGAGAACATATTTAGAGGTGTTCCAAAATTTTAATTCAATATAGCCTTTTGTTATTGCTGTCACACCACAGCCAATTCTTCTCAATATTGATACCATTGACAATAATACAGCAACATGGTAGCTATCACTACTGCCACCCTCAGCACCACAAAGAACCATCTCTGCCACCCCAGATGTTCAAGTATCAATCACAATTGCACCACCCCTACTGCCATGCAGCTGTCATCGCTGTCCTTCACTCCAGCCTCCAGCCTTCAGCAACCTACCACTACCAACTCCTGAAACTACCATCATAATCACCACCATCAGTCCACCAAAATCAACCCAACATGACATCATTTTGCTGCAATTCACACACTGACATTCCATGCTAACACCACCACTTTTGCCACCATCATCCACCTACCACCAAGACCAAACTACCACAATACTGTTACTACTGTTGCCACTACCAATCTACAGCCACAACCACCACTGCCTCTGTTCACAAACACTCCTTCCCCAAACACCTTCACAACTATCACGAATAAGCTTTGAGATTATGAAAAAATTTAGAAAATAGAGATGAAAATAAATATTCTAGAAACTGATTTTCCATGCTAAATAGCATATAAAAGTTTGTTTCTTTCTGTACAGAACTATGTTCTTCTGGTAACAAATAAGGGTGCATCAAGGAAAAGTGGAAGAAGGCATACAGAGTTTTCTGTCACCCAAAAAAGAAAAGAAAAAAAGTTCTCTTAACAATGCTTTTTAAGAAAAGCAAGTGATGTAATACCAAGATCATTCATGAGATCAGCAATTAGACGCCACATTTTAGCATTGCTATCCAGGTTTGATCCCTGAGAAAAGAGAAGTGACAAGTGTTATCATCTTCTCATGGTCTAATTAACTAAGCCACTGACACTAATAATGTAAGAAATGAGTTGAGTATCAAAAGCAAAGTTGCTCCATTGCCATTGGAAGGTTTCCAAGTTGTGCAAGCTTGACCCTTGCAACGTGGGGGATCTTATGGCTTGGCAATGCCTTTTCTATTGATAACAGCATTCCTAAAAGACAACATTATCCAGTTCATATGAAGCTATAAACAGACCGCCCAATTACACTCGATGCTAGAAACCTACTTTCATCCAAAGTTATGATGCTTCCCATCTAGATTGTGCATCAAGAAAACAGAGGTCAAGAACTAATAACACTTATCTTGCAGAGAAGTTGTGGCATTTTGCAATCTTTTGCTGGTTTTAACATAACATATTTCACTTAGTCCTGGTGTCTACATATAGCATCATTTACGATATTTTGCAACAAAAATAAAGTCAAAAAGTAAATGAATTGAGAACATGTGCCATTTTGCAATCTTGAATTTTTTATATTGGATCAAAAAGAAGAGGATTAATTCCTCCACACAACTCTGATTTGCCATGGGGAAAACATGAAGAGAAAGAAACAATGTCAAGTGACATTATAGACGTTTAGATGGTAGCTCACAGTACTAAATAAATACAGAAATGCAGAATGACAGACCTGGTAGAATGTGAACATGACCCCTCCAAGCATTCCAGTTAGATCCCTCAAAAACCACTGCAGCAATTTTAATACACAGAAACAATTGTCAACAACAATGGACAACAAATTCAAAATTACTGAAATATGTACGGATGTATTTTCAGCAGTCCAAAGTGTTCACCTGAAATGTTGCCCCGATGACAGTAGCTGACTTTTCACCAACCCCAATGGCACCCAAAAGAGCCTAAAATGATAGTCAAGTACTGAAAGGTTGATAAACTAACATTTACCAGTGTCAATAACGGGTCTGAAGATCACAGAAGTGTAACAAAACCTTACTTGCGTAGAAAGCATGGTCCGAACATAAGTGGAAAGGCCCTACAAGAATGCAGGTATGTAATACGTGAGCATGAAATTTACACACGACTTCATAAATATAGCCGTGCTAGTGACCCTAACCTGCAATGAGTCCCATTTTTGAAAAGGAACATAGTCTGGAGTTACACTGCTTGGAAACCCCTGAGTTAACACGGAAACCGAACAATATATCATTACAGATACCAATGGATCAATAGAAAGTTGAAATGAAAACTTAAAGGTCCAACTGGAGCACAATGCGTCCTTAAAATTTATGTCCCTATTTGCAGTTGCTGACTTTTACCACTTTTTCACTTCCACATTCACGAGTTTGCAAATGCCAAATAGATTGCTTTTGATAGCTAGTCTCTTTTAATATATATCCTTCTTGCTAAGCAGTTCCTGTCTTCACTACTCATGAATTCCTCATTTTTAATTGTTTCGTCTAGGCCTTTTGGCTTATCAGAAAGATGTCGGCTTTTAACTTAGCCTGTTTTGGAAAAATAAAAATAAAAATAAAAAACGTTCGCCAGTTCAATCAATGACAGCTTTGTTCTTCCAAAACCATTGACCTTAAGCAATGAATTCAAGATTTTGCGAATATGCAGAACTGCATAAAAAAATATATAATATACGCGCATGAGAGAGATTAAGGGCAGGAAGAGATTGCCTCGGGTACAAATGCTTGGAGAATCCGTCTCCAGACTTGGTTGAATCGGCTGCCAGATCTTCGAATGGCGATCGAAGAAGGCGAAGCAGTGATAGTGGCGGTTCTGCTTAGCTTCGTGGAGGCCGAGCCGCTCCATTCTTCCACTATGAACCACGACGACTCTTTGCCCCTTACTTCCATGCCGACGGCTTGAGTTTTGTCCCGCCAGAGAGAGATTAATTGACTCCCTGTGTAATAGACATGTTTAAATGTAATCCAGCACCGCGGTTACAACCAGGTTTTTGTGGACTTCCCTCAAAAATTAACTCCTATATTATTAAAATTACTATAATAGGCCCCTGAGAGCTAGTCCTCACTGCATTACAGTCGAGCAAATTAAATTGTTTTCTTAAACTTAATTTTATCTCATCTAAAAAAATGTAGCTCATTTATCGCTGTCTAGTTCATGTTTTATTTTTTATTTTTCTGTTTTTAAATACAAATAATTAAATATTTATTTTTGGCATTAAAGCATGAGAGATGAGAATATTTGAAATTGAATTTTTTGATTTTTAAATAAATTTTTATAAATATTTAAAACGTTCAATTATTTAAATTTGAATAATTAAATTTTATTAAAAACATTTTAAAATGTGAAAATAAGAATTCAAATAAAAAAATATAAGATAATGGCATTAATGGTGTTTGTTTTTCCTAATGGAAAGAATTTAGGAAATTGAACTTATTTAGTTATTTTTTAAATTATATATAATGTGTTGTATAATATAAAAAATACTTTATCTATTTTTTAAAATAAACTAAACAAATGAAAGAGTTCAGTTGTTTTTATTCTTTATTAAAACAGCCAACTTTAAAACATTTTGTAAAACAAAAGCCACACTAACTTACAACTTGATGGTTTGGGGATGTAATTTTAAAATTAAGAATTTATTCCATGCGAGATTCAAAGGGCCGTCATTGCAATTTCCAGGGAACATGCAAAATTAAAAGCGCTAGAAGGAGGGCTTGAACCTCCGACCTTGTGGTTAACAGCCACACGCTCTAACCAACTGAGCTATTCCAGCTAGCGCAGTCGTATCCTAGATTTAGAAATTATTTTGGCAAATTATTCAAACATATAATAAAACAAACTAGCCACAGCAAATTGCGGAGGGAGAATGTGGAGAAGAACTGTGTTTTTGTTATCACAGAGGCGATTTTCTTCTGAAACGGAAGTCCCAAGCCTCTACTCATTCCTCAGACCTTCTATCTTCGCATTGAGGAGGGACCCAGACCCTCCACCACCCAAACCCCAAGATCCTCCCTCACAAACACTAAGCGTAGATGGCCAAGCCGCCTTGGAAACTACTCTTCAATCCTCTATCCATGGCAACGACATTGACGAGGCATGGAAGTCATTTAAGACTCTCACCAGCAGCGCTTGCTTCCCAAGTAAGCCCCTCACTAACTCTCTCATCTCCTACCTGTCCTCTTTCACTGACACCCACAATCTCAAGAGGGCTTTTGCCTCCGTGGTGTTTTTGTTGGAGAAAAACCCTAAATTGTTGGAGCACAGGACCATCGAAACCCTTTTGATTGCAATGAAACATGCCAACACTGCTAACCCGGCCTTTGCGCTCGTGAAGTGCATGTTCAAGAACAGATTTTTCATGCCTTTTGATCTCTGGGGCGATACTTTGGTTGAAATTAGTAGGAAGAATGGAAGGTTTGAGGCCTTTTTATGTGTGTTTAATGAGAATTGTAGGATCTGTTTGGATGAGAAGCTGCATTTCATGAGACCCAATTTGGCTGCGTGTAATGCGGCTTTAGAGGGTTGTTGTCGTGAGCTGGAATCCGTTAGTGATGCTGAGAGTGTTGTGGAGACCATGTCAGTTTTGGGCATTAGGCCAGATGAATGTAGTTTCGGATTTCTTGCTTATTTGTATGCCTTGAAGGGGCTTGAGGAAAAGATAAATGAGCTTAGAGATTTGATGAGTGGGTTTGGTTTGGTAAATAAGAAGACATTTCTTAGTAACTTGATTAGTGGGTATGTGAGGTCTGGCAACTTGGATTCTGTTTCAGAGACTATTTTGCTCAATTTGAGCGTAGATGGAGAAGGCCCCAATTTCAGTAATGCTAGTTTTTGTGAAGTAGTAAAGGGTTTTCTTCAGAATGGAAGCATTAAGGACTTGGCAAATTTAATTATTAGAGCCCCAAACCTAGAAGCTCAGTCAGTCATGGCCGAGCAATCTGTTGGTTATGGTATTGTCTGCGCTTGTGTTGATCTTGGCTTCCTAGATAAGGCACATAGCATACTTGATGAAATGAAACGCTCAGGCCTGTTCTATTGGGCTTGGGGTTTATGTGCCAATTTTGAAAGCTTATTGTAAGAACAAAGAACAGCAGAAGCAACTCAATTGGTCACAGAGATCAGTGATTCTGGCCTCCAGTTGGATGTGGATACATATGATGCTCTAATAGAAGCATCTATGTCAAGCCAAGATTTTCAATCAGCATTCTCTCTGTTTAGAGACATGAGAGAAGCTAGAATACCTGACTTGCAGGTGAGTTACCTGACTATAATGACTGGTTTAACAGAGAATAACCGGCCTGAGCTAATGGCAGCCTTCTTAGATGAGGTCGTTGAAGATCCTCGTGTTGAAGTAGGTACCCATGACTGGAATTCAATTATTCACGCGTTTTGTAAGGCTGGGCGGGTGGAAGACGCCAGGAGGACTTTCAGAAGGATGATATTCTTGCAGTTTGTACCAAATGATCAGACTTACCTGTCCCTCATAAATGGGTACGTGGCGGCAGATAAGTATTTCAATGTTTTGATGCTGTGGAATGAGGTTAAGAGAAGGGTTGCAGCTGATGGAGACAAGAGGTTCAAATTAGAACACAACTTGGTTGATGCATTCCTCTATGCTCTGGTTAAGGGTGGCTTTTTTGATGCTGTGATGCAAGTTGTGGAGAAATCACAGGAGATGAAGATTTTTGTGGACAAGTGAGGTACAAACAAGCTTTCATGGAAAACCATAAGAAGCTCAAAATGGCTAAATTAAGAAAAAGAAATTTGCGGAAAATGGAAGCAGTTATTGCTTTTAAGAACTGGGCTGGCCTGAGTGCATGAATGATCTCATGTCTTTCAAATTATTATTTTGTTTATCCCAGGCTTATTTCACGTCATATGGATTGCTGGTATCTTGCAGCTTCTGATGGATGCTGAGAAAAAAGGAATTTAAGAGAATAAATGGATAAATATTTCTAAGTAGTCATGCCTGCTTAAATGGATAGACTTTACAAATACCTGAGGGTTTCTATAATGACCAAAGCTTGGTGGCTGCATTTCAAATTATTCCTGTAAAAGATATTTTTAGGAAAACTAAAGCTGAAAAGGTTTTCTAGTGCTGGCTAGTCAGCAGGCAAGTCATTAAACTTATATTTCTGAACTGTTTTGCTTGGGATCTGCTCCAACAAGGGGCTTATTATTTACTCTGGAAAGAAGAGGGACCAAGGTTAGGAAGGTGAAAGTATATATGGCTTTAGAATTTGTCAAGTCAATAAATATGAATTCATTTTCTGAATAGATCCTTTTTGACTTTGTTCTATGCTAGACACCAACATCTTGTAGGCTGAGTATTTGCACAAGTTATCACTTTACAGAAAAGGGCAGGAAACATGGACCTGGTCTTGTATTTGAGAAAAATAAATGCAGATATAAAGAGGAAAACTGACATGATGATACTGTTCTCCACTGCAGCAATTGCCCATTTCTGGATGTGCCTTGGTTAGAATTTTTTTTCCTTGATGCTGTCAGAATGATTTGTCTCAGATGCTGGTGGCAGATTAGCATTCATCAATAGGTAGTTTGTAGTTGAGAGGTATCAGATTAGGCAATTGTGTCTTTTATTGGTTCTCATGGAATGAAACAAAGGCTTGAGACCCGTTTCTCAACTCTTCTGACGGTGCTGTGTATATTATCTTTGAGATAGAATGAAGATAATGCTATAGGTTATCAAAATACAAATACCAACCTTTATAAGGTTATGCTTGCTGATTTGTCAACTGCAAGCGCAGAGCTCAGCCTGAAGAAAGAGAGGTGCATCTGAGGTCTTTTGGAATTTTCCGAATTTTTGCTTTCATCTTTGCTTTTGTTTGTATGTTCTGTTGGTTCCTTGGATTGGTCATTACCATCTTGCTAAAATGCTATTCTGTTGGGACATTAAATATGTTTCATCAATGTTACCTATTCTGATTTTTGCAAAAGCATTAGTAAGCAGGTACTGTCACCTTTGGTAATTAGGTTGCTCTTTTTATATTTGGATGGGCAATGTTATAAATTTTTGCTTGTGGAACTGCATGATTTAGTAGATGACCATGGGGGCAGGTGTGTATTTAGGTAGGTTAGACATTCACACCACCCCTGCAGGAACTTGAACTGTTCAACTGTTTGATCTGGTCACGAGAATGGTGCTTCTAAATATTTTTTTTTAGAAGGAAAAGTGCTTTCTGAGACAAGGAATTGAACTGCAAATAATTAGCAGGTGGCAGTGTAATAATCTTGGTAGGGATTTGATCTTAGAAAGAATTTGGAGAAAGCAGAAAAATACAGAAAGCTGGATTTTTACCTGAAGATGGATGAGTGTCACTGAAGAAGCATGTAGAATAAATAATCAGACAGAGATGGAAGAACATTGAAACAGGGTTTAACTTGCCTTGAAAGAAAGATACTGAATGAGACATAATAAAAATAGAAGAAAAGATTTATCTTCTTCAGTCTCTTGATCATGATTTCTTTCACTCTGTCCCATGTCTTCCTGCTTCTTGAAGTTTCTTCTTCTAGGTGACCAAATCACAATATTGGTCCCTGTAGGGCTGTATAAATAATAACTTTTGATTTATGGAGCTTTCCGTGTACCAAATCTGAATGGCCTCAATGGCATTGCATTTAGTTGCTAGTTCATCATCAGAACGGAACTTACAAGTATGAGAATATGAAATTGACGATAGACATGAATAGCTTCCAATCCATCTTCATAATCTGCTACTGGACCATCTGTACTAAAATCACTGAGCTTTCAGCGTCTCGACATGTTAAATCCTTTGCCCGTGATTATTGGGCTTGTATTTCTCGCCAAGGAACTGCCTTATTTCTCTGTTATCTGTTTGGCGAAAGTTCGAATAGGCGGAAATGGAATGCGCCCAAAAGAAAGAGAGGGGAAAAAAAGAGGGGGCCCACACGCACAGAGAGAAAAGTCATTAAACTCGAGTGGGGAGATGACTCCCTTCTCTTATCTTTGGTTGAAGTGAAGCAAGACTTGATCATATGTCGATTAGCTTATTATCTCTGTCAGCAAGTTCACCAAAATGCCAATAAAAAGGCGCAACGTATGGGCCAATTTTTCATTATTAAATTGGGGGTTAATCTTATTAAATATTAATTTCATTTGATAAATTTTCATATTACTTTTTTAACTTATTGTTTTAAAAGTCAATGGTACTAACTTAAATTCATTCATCTAATTTTTCCTCCTCCTATCAATATTTTTTAGTCCCCAACAGTACTATTTAAAGGCAAAGCATTTGGTTTCTATTAAAATAGGCAGATAAAAATAGAATACAATACTAAATAATTTGCCGGGATTATTGTCACTGAAATTTTGCCCTCCATTTAATCACAAATTACTACCACAGAACATAATAATAATGGAACAATCTGCCAACAGGAAAACATGTGTACATGTATGTTAGTCATTTGATTAGAATGCTTTTATCTTTTTCCAATGTGCGTTAAATATAAAAACATTTTCTTCAACTGTGACAAAAGTTAGACAAATCTAGTTTGATATTGAATTTTGAAGGGCGATTTTGTCATTCGTAAATAGTCTCTCTAGTGTCCTTTGATTAGCACACAATCTGATTAACATACTCAAATCCAACCTTTTTCCAAAGAAGAGGAAAGTTACATTTCATCTAACGTCCTTTATCTATGTTGGGGTGTGATGTGATGACCATAATTCCTTTTGAAAACTTTACCGAAGCCTTCTGCCCAAGTGCGATACAAATAATATAACTTGTCCCACCTGGTTCCTGAACTTGATCAGCAATGTGGGAACAGAGCTTATCCATTACACTCCGTATATGGATACATGTGATGTCAAAGGCACTTCTTGAAAGCCACTTAGATTATTGTTATTATTTTCCTAGTCTTCTTTTTCAAAGTTAAAAAACAAATGATAAACAGTTATATTTGCGGTGTAAAAGAAAGAAAAAGAAAACAAAGTTGCCAGAAGAAGCAAACAGACCTGAAACACTAACTTATTTCCCATGTGGCACAAGGCAGGATGACTTTTTTGGCCATTGCTACTGTAACCATGTTGACAACTTTACCTCTATTCGTTTATGGGTCCTCGAGGCTCTCCAATCTCCACAGTGCTCCATAGCTAGCACCCATGATACGGCCTGGCTACTGCTTGGGCTCTACTTTTGATGAATGCTGATAATAATCACCACCTCCACCGGAAAAAAAAACCTGCTTCCTTTACTCCCTCCCCCACCCCCCCCCCCCCCCCCTTCCCCCTTTTTAATTCATCAAAAACAGCACGGCTCGGGTATCATATTCATTCCCCCAATCAAATCACCAATGTCCCCTCCTCAGCGAACTCCATGGCTGCCCGTCCACATTCTTGTCTTCCTCGCCCTGACTCACCCCCTCGTGGCCTCCCATGCCGTCCCCGGGAACGGCACGTGCCAGGACACATGCGGGATCCTCCCTGTCAAGTATCCATTTGGCACGGGGTTTGGTTGCGGCCACCCTGCCTTCTCCAGGTACATGAGGTGCAACTCAGGAACCTATGAATTCTCCACCGGGACGGGCATTTACGTTATTTCGTCGATCGACTACCCTAGCAACAGCCTGATCGTCACAGACCCCCTCATGTCCAACTGCTTCTCCATGCAAAACTCCGGGAGCTTCAGCCTGGACCGGGCTAGCCCGTTCACCTTGGATCCGAGCAACATTTTCGTTCTACTTGGGTGCTCGGGCACCTCTCCAGTTTTTGATCAAAATCAAGACTTTTGTGATTCCGGGTCAGGCTTACATATCTGCAGGGGTTTGTACTCTTGTAAGGGAGTCACTGGAATTGGACTAGCGCCAAACGCACCCATCTCCACCTGTTGTGTTTATGACCCGATGATTGTGCTTGGGTCGGGTTTGGTGTTAGATCTTCCAAAGCTCCAGTGCTCCTCCTACACATCAGTTTATGGGTATGGAGGAGATGAAGGGGACCCTATGAAGTGGCAATTCGGAATATCGTTGCAGTACAATGACTCGTATTACAGTGAAGAATGCAAGAACTGTGAGGACAGTGGGGGGTGGTGTGGCTTTGCAGGGGTAGAAGAGTCATTTGCTTGCATTTGTCACAGCGGGGTTAACACTACGAACAATTGCTTCGGCCGAGGTTAGTTTCTCATCACATGTTACTCCCACTCTTTGTTTCCAACTTTATATATTTTGGCTATTCAAGTGTCTGATTTTCTATTGACAGGATACGCTTGGAGTGGGACATCGAGATCCAAAATTCAAACCAGGATCAGTATTGGAGGTACATCAAATCTTGGCTTTTTTGATTTTCTTGCCACTGAGTTTTGTGCCTCTGAACAGAACTTTGTTGAAGAGACAATTTTATGTATTTTTGTTTCTTGAATAAATGGTGGTCTACTCTTAAGCTTAGTAGTTTTGGTTTGTCAAAAATGTATTAGCCCTTTTTTGGCTTTTTCCCCCATAAAAGTTAAATAAAATGAGCTTTTAAATTTATAACAAATACCTTTTTTTTTTTGGGATTAAAAAGCCAAGAACCAAAAAAGTTAGAAGGTGATTCTACCTGATTCAAGAAAAAACCCATTAAAAAATCAGATATTTTTGTCCATGAACGAAACAGCTGGTAAGTATGTCTTTGCTAACATTCTCAAATACTTGGCACAATAAATCAGATGAACCAAACACCTG